CTAGACACCACGTCCCATAGAGCACATTACTACCCCTAGACACCATGCCCAATAGAGCACATTACTACACCTAGACACCACGTCCGATTCAGCACATTACTACCTCTAGACACCACCTCAAATAGAGCACATTACTACCTCTAGACACTATGTCAAATAGAGCACGTGCTTTAGCAAAAAAAATGCTGATCACCAGCTAATATTCCAAGTGGCCCTATTTTAAAACACCAATGTATAAATTAAAATCAGTAGGATTTTGGTAATTGCTTCCCACAGGCATTTATGGAGTGTCACTCGAAATAAATCATGTGCAGATATTATTGCGATACAAAGAAAATGAGATTGGTTTTCTGAGACAGGACGTGAAGGACGTGGCCGTCTCTGCAAGGACTCCGAGCAGCGTTTCCTCTGGTCCTGACCTCGCATCAGGCGGCAGCTGGTTTGGGTGTTTAAGCTGACAACTTCCCTGATATGAAAAATATTATGAAGCAATGACTTACTTTTCTTATCTCCATCTTGATTTTCTCTCTCAAATGTAGTCATTTCCTGCCTACAAGAAAGAGATAATCACATGAGACACTCCAGTTCTCTGAAGTGAAATGCACTTGAAAGACGTTTCGCTGCCCTTCACCTGAGGTCATTGCTAGATTGACAATCCCAGTGTTAAGTACAACTAAACCCCTGCGTACTCTAGTCCTTTCTGAAAAACCGTGAAGTATAGTTGATAACACTGTATTGTTTAATGGAAATTGACTAAGTGAGTAGAGCTTAAATGCTCTCACCAAAAAAAAAAGGTAAATATGTGGGGTGGTGGGTGTATTAATTAACTCGGTGGGGAAATCCTTTCACCATGTACACATATATCAAATCATCATGTACACTTTAACTATCTTACAATTTTATTGGCCAATTACACTTTGATAAAGCTGAAAAAAAGGAAAACCACAAAAATCTAGGAAAAGAAAGAAAAATGGAGAATAAAACTCCGTATTTCATGAAACTGAAGGAATTACTAGATTATCAGACCACGTATATTATCACATGTATGGAGAACATATGTGCAATATAGTGAATTGGGAAGGATTAAAGGGAGATATTGAAAGTCAATTTATTTCTATGCTGTTCTTGATGAGGGAGTACGTATCTTTAACGGTAAGAGAAGGTCCTAGAAATCCGACCTACAAACTTACAGTGACAGATATTAGAGCAGACTACTGACGATAGAAATAGAGATGAAATCTACAGGGTCACACCGGGCACAATGAACATAGTGCTGGCTCGTCTTTGCTGAGAGCTAGTTCAGGCAGGCACTGTGCTGATGAATAGACATCGTGTTTTTAAAATGTTATTTTCAGAACCACAATCTAAAGTTGTAGTATTTTCAAATTTTAAGACTATTTTCCACATGAATTTCCACAAAATTTAAAGAATATAAGTAACTTGTCTCAAAGTTGGTACATAATATATGACAAAGAACTTTGATAAAATCCACAAACCAGAAATAACACAGATACTGATACTAATACAATAAATTAAAACTTAATACTAAAAATGTAAAACAATGCTTGAAAGGAAAACTATTCAGATCCAAGAAAAAAAAGTAAAGTAACAAGAAAAACAGAAAACAAAGAAATTGTTTTGAATCAAAACAATTTAAATAGCAAAATTTAAAAAACTAAGAAAAGCAGAAATAAGAATTCAATAAATATAAAAGGGATGATACTATGACATCCTGGAAAAAAGCAAGGCAGTAGTCAGACTCTGATTGCCAGGGGTTGGTGGGGGTGGGTGCGGATATTCCATATCTTGACTGTGGTGATGGTTACATGACTGTATATGTTTTTCTAAACTTATCAACTGTTTACCTAAAAAGGATAAATTTTATTGAATTATACCTTATAAACCTAAATTTAAAGTTAAATGACTTGAACAGCTCATACTGTTCTTTTTGTAAGTACGTTTAAAGTCATGGATTAAATGTGTGATATTCCAGTAGAAATAAAACAACCAGAATTGACTCAGGAAGATGTAGAGAATGTAACTTCGTCTTTACAAAGAGCATCATCCTGTTAATTAGCCAAAACCCCCCAAAACCAAAAAATCCCTGACTTCAGTTCTGGCCCATTGAGACTTATACGTATTTGACTGCAGTTGACTGGAGTCGTCAGACAGCTGGGCCCCCTCACCGAGCTGACTCTTCAAGTTCCGTGAGTCCTGCCCATAAAACTTGCTTGGATGGGGACACCCCAGAGACATTTGATTTCTCTCCACGAGCTACTGTCCTGTTTGTCATAAAGACTTTTGTATTTGAAAATATTAACACTTCAGCTCCTTTAACAGAGAAGAATGAGAGAAACATCATGTTACACATGATGGAGCAAAAGCCTCGTTGCAGTGGCCTGACGCTGTCCAGAACTGGCTCATGGCAGCCTGAGAGGAGCCTTCGCTCAAGAACATCCCCAGGGATTTGCTGTCTCCTCTCCAGCTGCAAACTGTAAAGGGAGCTGCAGAGTCAGCACAGGCACAGCCTCGCCACTGTCCCACCTGCCCTTTGCGCAGAGAAAGTGTAGGTGGAACCTTGGGAGTGGCTGATTCCTGCAAACACCATTTTACATCACCAACAAACCCAAGCCTTTCCCCTCACCCCGATTCACTCACATTTTGTAAGAGAAGAAGGGGCCAAGTCAGAGACAGAAACCCAGACCTTGAGATGAGATGATTAGGAAAGACGTTGAGAGCCAAGATATGAAAAGCCCACGATTAACAAACAAGGCAGATGTTTCTGTTAATCTAAGCTGGGCAAGATATCAGCGTCCAGATAGCTGCTGTTTTTCCACTGTGTTTTTCTTTTTTCCATTGAGTGGTAAGGTTGGGTAGCAGAGAGGCACTAGCAAGTCAGGCGGTGGGTAGTGCCTTGAAAAGCACACGGTCTACAAAGGGAGATGGACCATAAGAAGCTAAACTAACAAACACAAAGTTACAGGTTGAAAGGAAGACGTGGCAAATCTGAGTAGGGGGCAGTGCCGGAAACCCACGGGGGTGGCAGCCATGTTCCTACACAGTGTGGGCAGAGAGGTCTTCCAGAGCAGCGTGTGAGAGCCAGCACCTCCAGGAAGAGATGCTATCAAGCACAGCAGGCAAGATAAAAACCTTGTGCACTGAGAGAGCAGCATGCGGCAGGGCCGAGGTGAGGCTGAGCTGGGTGGTTGAAGAAGAGGAAGTGAGAGTGGAACCCTGGACGACAGCGGATGAGGATGGAGGGCAGGGAGCGAGACTGGAGAGGTCCGCAGGGGTCAGTCCTTACAGGATTGTAGGCCTGGTGAAGGGTTTAGGTTTATTTTGGATGCAGTGGAGAACCATCGAAGGGTCTTAAGGAAAAGGCATGATTAGACTTACATTTTCCAAAGATTATTCTGGCTAAATATGAGGAGTAGGTTGGAAGTATGACCATTGCAATAGCCAACCAAAAACAAACCTCCTTTATTTCAGCTATGTGTTTGTACACTTGCTTTATATAACCATTAAGAAACAAAACGTGTGTGCTGATACCCCATTTCTCTTGTTTAGACAGAGTCTCCGTCTACCCTTCTGCCAAGTCTTAGAGGCAATCACCAAAGAACTCTCTCATTGTGGCTCTAGAGGCCAAAGATGTTTACCCTCGTGGGACAGAGATTCTGGAAGTAAATCTCAGAGAAAACACTCTGATATTCTGTATTCTTACTGTTTCTTTCCCGTGTCTGGGTTCACATTCCTGGGCTGCTTCTGATTGTCTCTCAGGCAACTAGACGGAAACACAGAAAAGAAGAGACTGTTACCTCCCTCTGAACGTTCTTGCCCCCTTAGTCTTTTTCCATACCATGAAACCACGCCTGCCTTCCTTTTGTCAAACTTCTCTTTCCTTTGGAATGGACAGGCAGTCACAGATATAGAATGCAATTCAGAAATTAACCATAGAGGCCAGGCTTCTGATGGGACAAAACGTCTATAGTCTAGCCTTTGATTCTCTCAGTCTCACGTTGAATCATCAGGCAAGTTCCAGGACTGGGATTGATCATGATCAGGCATGCAAATTTCCTGAGTCTCCAGAAGACGTAGGCAGGTGCCAAGAAGGCAGAAAGACCCTAACAACAGGGAGGTGCAGCTTCTGCAGGGAGCCGGTGGAGTCCTAGGTCTGTTGACCTCGGCTCTCTGAGCCAGGCAAGGTTATCCCAAGCCTGCTGTTTGGCCATCCCTGGACGCTCAGCCTTCACCTACATTTAGGGAAGTGTACGTTGTGCACGTACTCTTTGTGCTTCCCCTCAGTTATCGTCATCCTTAGGAGCCTCAAGCAAGCACTGAAAGATGAAGTTGAGCAGAGGAACAAACGGAGTGGATGCTTACCCAAGTGTTAGCAACACGCCCATGCCTGGGTCTCAGTTAATCAACTTCCCGCTAGAGCAGCTGGGAAACACAGCATCTCTGTGAATGGTCTGTCCTCTCTCATCACATCCCCAGCACTTGTCCCTTCTCCTGCTTCTACGTAGGGCAGCATGCGAAAGATCTCAGAGGACGAGCCTCGCTCCTGCTTACCGGTAACGTTCAGAGAAGGCGTTTTCCCAATGTTGGTATTTAAAAGTTCAAGAAACATTGTCAGATGTTGACATATGAGGCCACTAAGCAAACAATAGAATTTATTAAATATAGTAAATCCAACTTGCAGAAGAAGGGGCCCTTTACTTTCACAGGATAAGTTCTGACGTAGAGGTTTCTGGATAATATCTGGATAATATTGGAAATATTTCTTTCACAAATGGCCAAGTTTGTATGTAGTGATTACCTAATAGTATAGGTGGTAAATCAGACAAAATTTAATTTCAATGCCCTCTGTCTTCTCTTCTTTTTCTGTTTCCCTGGAGTCCAGTTTTCTCATGATTTCATCTTCCTACACTGGTCAGTGAAGAAAGAATCTGCTACAGTAAGTCTTCTCGAGGTTATTAGCGATGCACTGACTTACTTTCTAAGGAGATGTTTGTATTTAAAAGTTAAAAACAGGAGCAGAAAGTCTTTAACATTAATAAGAACTTAACTGGAATTCTATATCAGTCATACTACTGAACACAAATGGACACTAAACACTGCCAAAGTAAAAGTTTGTTTTTTGAGTCAAGCAGAATTAAGATGTCAGGCCATAGGTGATGTACAAAGATTTGTTAACTGAATTAATGAACCCACTAATATTCTGTCATTAAAATAATAAATATTAAATGGAGCTTAAAAATGTATCTTGGCCAAAATATTAAGATCATGGGTGATTTTTCCATACTTTCTGTTTATTTTCCTTTTTTTAAAACTTTCCAAATGTTTGACATTAATTTAAGACATCATAACTCCACAAAGGAAATCTAAAAAAATACCCCCAAATCAACAATGTGCACACTATTTCTCCACCAAGCAATAAAATTAAAAATCAACAATAAGACGATAACTAAAAATGCACATTGGTATAGACAGCAAGTAGTATACTAAGTAATCCTTATTTTAAAAAAGAAATCATAGAGGAGCCTCCTTAAA